GATTTTGACAAAAATTTTTCCATCTCCCTGAGTTTCGGGGATAAATTCAGAAAATTCTCTGAAGAGTCCTCTTTACCTTACCTCCGTACTTACCAATTTATTGCAAAGAACTTAGACTAATGCTGTGCATACTTCAATACTTTACACTTACAATACTGATTTGGATACTAAACGCTGAAATATTTTCAATACTTAGGACCTGTCTCAATTTTGAATACCCAAATACTCCGGTATTTAGGAAGAGATACATTAAAAATCGTTCCATCTTTAATTCTTAACAATTTTCCATATTTAAACGAATATAAATCGATCAATTATATATTCGCCAATTAGTCGATTACTAGACTCTCAAGTGATGTTCTTGAAATCCTTGAAAATGAAAAAAAGTAAACAATGCAAAGAATTGTTAATAACAGTATACATTATTGAATGGGCTTGAAATTCTAGTTGACTTTTTATCTTTATTTGGACATAGCAAAATATTAACAATTAAAGAGGGAAAATTTTTTAATGGGTATTCATTCTACCCCAGCATCCCCTAAATAATCTGCTAAAAATTTCATGAAAAGCATCGGAAATTATATATATATATATATATATTTAACGGAATCCCCGGAAAAATCTGTTATATATCAACTGAATTTAGTAAGTTTTAAAGATTTGAAAAGAATATGAAGGGTTCTTTTTCGTCTTCTATACTTTATTCGTTTTTTTCTGTGGAAATGAGGGATGAAGGGGCAAATAAAATGTTTTTAGTGGAAGAAGAAAATGGAGAAACAGAAGGCTGCTATCAAGTTCAAAGCAGCTGCGAGGATAGCCAGAGTCACTCACGATCTCACCATGGCCGTACGAAATGCCAACTCCCTCGGAGAAACTGCTGACGAGAGCGAGGAAGACGACGAAAATTAAACTCCAAGTTACAACGAAAATATTTGAAATAGTTTTCTAAAAGTATTGCTATCGAAAAATGACAGAACACTTCATCTAGTTTCAATGTTCTAGATTCTAGAACTTTTTGTCTTCTCGTAGAATTGATTTTTACAGAGATGCTGCAATGATCGAAAGAACAGAAATTCCAGAATATTAAACAAATGAAAACATGAATTAATGGAATGAATAATAATAAATATTAATAACAATGCGTTTAATACAGCAGGATAATAAAAATGTGTTTTTGGAATTTATGGAATTTATATTACATTTATTTGTGTCTTTTCTCTGTATTTTCTTGTTTTTGCTCTCGATTTTTCACTCGATTCTTGTATTTCAATGGGCATATGAGTGCAGAACTGAATTTTCTCCATTTTTTAAATCGCAAGATATTTGTTAAACAATAAATAATTCAGTAGTGGAGGGATAAAACGTGGAAAAACTCAAAATTCGACTTTCAATATTTTGTTAAATCTCCAAATATCTCGGAAATGAGTGGATTTATTAAAAAAAAAGTGTGTGAACACTTTTCTCCTTTTTCGTAGAGATAATGCACATTTTTCCCTCCCCTTCTGAATAATTTTTCATGATCCAGTAAATACAAAACTCATGCTGCACGTAAAACACATTATTTTAGTCATTCAATCCTCAAAATTAAATACTCAGTCCTCACTCTGGGGCCTCATTACTCCCATTGTGGTCTTTTTTTCTCATATTTTTAATTTTTTTCTCCTCCATTGAGTGAAACCCCCTCCCCCCATTTATCTAATTCATCAATCGAGTCAGTAAATTTGTCGCGGAATTTGACAAAAAAAAAAAAAATTGCGCCACAGAACGACCCTCTCTCCATTATTTTATCTATCTCTATTTTTTTGTTGAGTTTTTCTTCGAATGGATATTTTTTCTTAGGACTTTTGTTATATCTATTGCGTGCTGCTTCCCTTGGTCGCTTCTCGCTGCTGTATCTCAGCCGTGGCTTGATCCTTCATGTGTTTTTCAACCTTTAAATATTATTCATCGATTATTATTCAATGCATTTTATCAAATAAAAAACAAATCCTAAAGAAAACGGGAGATTGTCGATAAATAGATTGATTGAGATATTCGTTAATTGGAATTCGCTTGGTCGATTAATTGTTTTACAGAAAAATAAAGCAATAAATAAAAATAACGAGATATATATAATATATATATAATATAATAATAACTTCGAGAGACTTGATTCAGGATTAAAAAATCTTAAGTGATTACTCGAATATTTCAAGATGAAATTTAAAAAAACATCTTCGTTCAAATGCAAATTGATGAATAAATTATGAAAAAGTAATGAGGTACTCACAATTTTTCTGACATGTAAATATGATTTGGACTCAGCATTGCCATGGACATTATCAACTTTGTAAGGTGGTACAATGGTAACATCCTCCCAAACAACGATATTCTGTCCCGACCACGTTATGGCCTGTATGGTTTTAGCAATGGCAATAAATAATTTCTGCCCTTCAGGCGATACTCCGGCCTGCAGAGCCTTCACCATACGTTTTTTCTCCTCAATCTGATTACGCACACGTGTATTTAGCCTTTGTAGATTAAGACTCTGTGGTGGTTCATTCAGCGTCGGCGATACTTCACGTTTAACTTGTACATCTGATACAAGTGATAAATTAACTATATGTACATCATTCAATGATGACCGATTTGATGATGACGGGCATTCTGTTTATTAAAGCTTCAATTAAGGAAAACAAAGAGATATCAAAAATAATCAATAATCACCAATAAAAATTCATTTTCACTTCCCAAAATCTGTTCTCTCAAGAAATTCAGTTGAAGATTTTTCATCTCATAAACCCATTCGCTTTTTTTTCGTCTTGTATTTGTCGTAAAAATTTTTCTATTGGTTATAAAATGTTTATTAAAAAAGAAAAATATATCTTTGCCAAATATTCATTTGCTTAACAGAAGTACTGAGTCTTTCAACACTGTATTTCTGCCCTCGAATTATTTTCTGAAATTTCCCACTAGGTTACACTCATAACAACTGAATTCTTTTAGAAAATCATTATGTTAATTATGGCCTGAAATGTACACTTTTTATCTTTAGCATTACTAAGAAATGCGTTTAAGTTGAAAAATGCAGTGTTTCAAGGAAATAGAAAATTTAAGGTAAATGGGTAATCATTAGATTCATTCGGGAATATATATGCAAAATGATCATCGTTTGGAGCAATATGATTCATAATTAAAAGCTACTCAGAAGTGTCTGCCGTGAGAAAAATGTGATTTCCAGACATTGCTTCACTTGAGACAATTATTTATGTTTAAAAATCGTATTATTCTAATTGAATGGTTCCTAAAGAATATTCATTGGGTTTTAATTATTAGTTATTAATTGGGTTTTTATAAAGAATGGTTATTTTGCATATCTTCTCTAATAGCTCTTCAGTATGATTAGAGAAGACAGATTTTTCAGAAATATATATTTGCTGGAGCTCAGAATTTTGATGAATTGCTTGATCTCAACAGTTAACAGGAGAATTCTTCAATTTTTTCAATAATTTATTCGAATCTAAAGAAAAATTCTTACAAGTGACTGGAGGACACCAATATGGGATTAAAATGCTAAGTAATCTCTCACGTGAATGAATATTTAAGAAAAATAATTCTTCCCTCAGTGAACTAATTATCCGCCTAAAAAAACCCAATATTTATATAAAACCAAAAAATGCTCCCAAACAAATCGATTAAAAAACCGAATACAACAAATAGATTTAACATAAATAAATAAAGTTCTCGATAGTAGACACCATTTCAAGGGAGATTCCGTGCCTTATTCTGGATTGGAGAATACCAAGTTTGACTCCCTGCCCCGAGACTTTCAAAAATGCAAAGAAAACAAAAAAATGGAAAGAGTTTTGTGATGAAATGACTTTGAAGTGTTGCTGAGCAATTCAGCCAGTCTGCAGCACTGTTTCCCCCCGCAAAACTAACCTTGCAGCCACAATAACAATCAGACCCCGAGGGTTTCCAAGGGCTCCACACAATGGAAAAACCATATATGAGAGCCCGAGGCCTTTCCAGACAACTCTAACAATCCCATCAGAGGAATAGTATTGAAAAATGGGATTTATTTACTTGACTGAGTGAACTGTGGTTGGGAGCAAGAGCCAGGGGGCAATATGGGCCTAGATGTCTCCCTGAAGATGATGCAAGTTGATTTATACGATGAAAAAGGATACTCAGTATGAGCATTTTGGTTTGAGGATCAAATGCCAACACCTCTCCCTCAATTTCTTTGTGATAACACGTTTTACATGCCACCGTACTCCCAATGCTAAACCAGTCGCTGACGCCGGCCATTTTTCACTAAACCTACTATTGCACCCTCTGTTGCACCAACGCTTCCACACACCTTTAGCCAATTGTTGGAATAATAATAATAATACGGTTTAATGGCATCTACAGAGATTATAGGGGAGATCGGCAGCGCTTATGGCTAAGGTTCAGCAGCAAATTACCCGAGCGGCGGTTGCGGAACTAAATCAGAGGCAGTACCCGTGAATAAGGCAGGGCACGAGGCCGAAGTGAAAAATTCGAAATTTTTGAAAAAGTATCAGGGTAACATGAACATCGAGGAGATATTCACTGAAAGTGAAAAATTAGAAATTTTTGAAAAAGTATCAGCGTAACATGACCATCGAGGAGGTATTCACTGAAATTGAAAAATTCGAAATTTTTGAAAAGTATCAGGATAATATGAACATCGAGGAGGTATTCACTGAAATTGAAAAATTGGAAATTTTTGAAAAAGTACCAGGATAACATGAACATCGAGGAGGTATTCACTGAAATTGAAAAATTAGAAATTTTTGAAAAAGTATCAGGATAACATGAACATCGAGGAGGTATTCACTGAAAGTGAAAAATTCGAAATTTTTGAAAAAGTATCAGGGTGACATGACCATCGAGGAGGTATTCACTGAAATTGAAAAATTCGAAATTTTTGAAAAAGTATCAGGATAACATGACCATCGAGGAGGTATTCACTGAAATTGAAAAATTCGAAATTTTCGAAAAAGTATCAGGGGAATATGAAAATCGAGAAGATATTCAGTTTTTAAACGATATTTCCATTAATTAGCCATTTACAAAAACAAAATTGAAATTATTTTTATAAAAAAAAAAAAGAATGTTAGCTGGGAATCAAACCCTAGCCGTCCGTGTACCAGCCGTGCACGTTGCCCATTAGACAACGCACTCATTGTAATAGTATATTATGCAACACGTGCGTAATATATTTTTTTACTCGTGGGAGGTTTGTAACACGAGCCGAAGGCGAGTTTTACAATCCCACGAGTCGAAAAATATATTACGCACGCGGTTCATACAAAATTTTATGTCATTGCGCACGGAATGCGCGATTTAACCGAGCGAAGCGAGGTTAGAATCGCCTGATTACGGGCACCGATGGCATAAAAATGTAATTTCATTAGTAGTATATCTTCAGTGTAGAATAACCTTTTCCATTTGAGATTCCACAAGATGTGGCTTCCCTCTTCCGCTCGTTCTACAGTCGGCTAAATTTCAGTTAAACAAATAAACAACAAAAAGCATTCATACCCCAGCAAATAAAACTTACCCCGTCGAGCAGAAACCCCCGTTGCGTGTGACGCCCTCACTCTTTTGGGGTGCAGTACTACGATGCCGCTGGGGTCACTCTCCTCTCACACAATCCTCTCTGGTTGCAACCCATTTCTCAAAAATTAAATTTTTAATTCGCTTCATCACCCCGTTATGCACCGATTAATAATTTGGTTTTTTCAAAATATTCGGTTTACCCTAAAAAATAATTGAATTGGAAATTTGACTCCTATGGTGATGTTACATGGCCACTCAAACCAAATTGAATAATTTTTTTTTGCCTTATTCGAAATTGAACAGGGGGTAGTAAATTTTTTGATGAAGTTCTACCTGAACTTCCATAACTGGACATGAGCACAATTTTCTCTTAATTTTTACTAGCGCCGCCCCGGCCGCTCCACGGCCGGGACGTTGATGCACTTCTCCATGTCAATTCTCATGGAACTGCTCGTGTGGATTCACCCTGATGAATAAATGCACAGTGCCCCATGAGCATTGCGCCATGACACTTGTGGTGGGCGCCATGACAGTGCTCTGCTTTTTTTAATAGGAAACATTTCCATGCTCCCCTGA